TGCCTTGCTGCTCCCCTTGAAACTCCCGCTGATGGGGTTCTCGGGCCCTGAACAGATCCCACTGACGGTGCTGGTGCTCGGGCGAGTTGTGGGCACTGTGGTCGGGTATGACCAGCCTGGCCACACTCAAAGCAGATGATCCTACCTTGAGGCAAGTTATTACATCGCCCAAGGTGCATCTTCCCGCAGGTCAGGCATGGTGGATAACCAGCGGGTCCCGTCCTGGTCTGTGGAGCTGAATATGTCACCCTCGGCCTGACATCATATTGCCCTCCCCTTCGAGTCTGCTGGGTGAAACCGGCGGAGTGACTCGATTGGACAAAAGCCTTCCTCTTCCTATCACCTGGCCTCTCCTTCCAAGATTCCCTCTTGGCCTTCTCCAAGTTCTCTTTTCTCAGGGCAGCCTGTTTAATGGCATTCAGGCTTACCATGTCAGCTGAGGAGACTCCCTCCTGGATGGTGTATCGGAGACCGCGAAGGAACCTCATGGCCAACTTCTCATCTCGGTCTGTCTCAATCTCACACCACTCCGATAACTCGAAGAATTTGATGTAGTAAGACAGTACAGACATCTCCCCCTGCTTAAGATCATCGAACTCCCGCTGTTTATTATATATCCACTCCGATGGGAAGAAAGTCGCCCGGAACATAGTCATGAATTCCTGGTAGGTCACTACCGGAGGAAAGACTTGCCCTTCCTCCTGAGTGCCCCACCAAGTCAAGGCATGGCCTTTGAGAAGCATGACCATTGCCTGGAGCCTCTGCTCCTCATCATATCCCATGTAATCGAACTGAATGCGCGACTCTTTCAACCACATTGCCGTTTCTTGAGGATCGTCACTATCCCCTCGAAACTCCTTCAACCCATATTTCTTAAGTTGAGGAAACTCCACCCTGATGGGGGGTGGTAGCGGTGCTAACTGAACATTACGAGGGCCCACACTGTTCCGGTCACTACAAAGAAAGAAAAAGAAACCAAACTTTAGTTTTCTTCAACAAAAACTCCTTCCAAAGATCGTTTCTCAATTCCTCAAAATATTTAAAAATCAATTTCAAAATATTTTTGTCACAATTGATCCCATTACCCAGAAAGTCTCGGTGCAAATACGAGTATGGAGTACCTTCACCCGACTGAGGGTAGCTAATCCTCACGAGTTAAGGTAACATACTTATAGTGCAGCGAACTAACCGAGCTCTGATACCACTTGTAACACCCCACCCATAATCTCTATGGTTGAACCCGTGGTTCAACCGCGCAGCCAAATCATCGGTGTTACTGGTTGAACTCGATCATCTCAAACATCATATCCGATAATTAAACACAAACATAAACCGTTATCATACAAACTCATTATTCGAATCCCAACCCACTTATTGAATTTTACAAAATGTGGGTTTATTATTCAAACACTCAAAGCAAAAATCCTAGGTGACCATGACAGAACAGTGTTCCAAACTACCTCATGATGGTAGTACAGAAGGATAGGGCAGCCTTAGTAGTCCGATCCTAGTTGCACCTGCGAGCCTGAAAACAGACGTGGGTCAGCAACTAAGCTGTGTGTGTGGATCTTTCCCACGACCTAATTTTGGGACCGCAATCAGCTAATCAAACAATCATAATCAATCATAAATTATTACTCTAGATGCCATCTTAAATCATCATATATAAATTACCGATCAAATTATCGAATCCACCAACTAATCATCACCAAATCAATTTATCCAATAAGATAATCACTTAATTTCACGAACACATAATGAATGCATGATATGAAAATTCCGGTTAATTATTAATGGCGCCAAGGTCACCATACACTTACCCTCGCTCGAGCAAATCATCATCCGTGGTGCTCATGCAACCACAACACTCAATCCGTGGTTTTTAACCACAACACTCATCCGTGGTTTTCAACCACAACACTCATCCGTGGTGCTCATGCAACCACAACACTAAATCGCATAAGCGAGCTAAATCTACCCACTCTCAAGGGGTGAGGGTAAATGCAGGCCCTTTCTATATCTACGTGAATTAATATGATCACGAATCAAACCATTTCCATTTTTCTCATCCATCACAATCAATCCGGAATCAATGTAATCTTACGGATTAACCAGTTCATATATATATTTTCCGTCGATTATCAACTCGACGTTTCAAAAAAATCAACTATTTCATCATCCAATACCAAATCACATAAATCATCTCATTCTCCCGTAAGGCTACTCAGCAGTACCATATCACCGTTCCTCATCCAAAATTCATCAACAATATCACGAAATAGCGCCAACGCAAATTATTATAAATAACTCGGTCGCGGTTAAAAATGTCCTTAACTCAAAATTCACTTTCCTTCATTAAAATCCTCACACAATTCATGTAAATGAATTTATTGACACAAAAATCCATTAAATCTAGTTCTGGTCATAAAAATCAATTTAGACAATAAAGTATCAAAAATCTCGTATTAACCATTATTTTACGGTAACTTAAATTCCAACAAAACGGTAAATCCAAAAATCTCCCAAAATTACAAGAACCTTCATTTATCATCCTAAAACAGGTCTGTCCAGTTTTTATATTTTTCAACAACTCAAAACCATGAAAATAATATTACACTCGGTATTTATCGCAAATCTCGTATTAAGCTCATTTTTACCGTTTTAAGGATAAAAATTCCACCAACTGTCTAATTTACCATTTTCAGACCAAAAACCATTTAACAATCCATACTGACCATTTTGAAGTGATCCAAATCTTAAAGATAAATAAAACACGTTTTTACCGAGCTTTCGGTAAAATTGACCGTTATGCAGTTTTTAATCCGGAAACCATTTTCAAGTGAAATCTTCTGCTCAATCTGTCCCAACCTCATTTTAGACAAACAAAAATCACTTAGATCAGTTTTAGACTCAATAAACCCAACTATTCATTTTTACGGGGAAACTTGTCAAATATCGATATTTACTCCGTAAAATCCGTAACAATCAAGAATAATCTCCAAATCATCATATCAACAAATAAGTCATCACCCAAAGTAATCCATCCATCCAAATATGCAAATCAAGCATAAATAATCGATGCAATAATTAAGGTCCTCTTAATCCCCACACACCTTAATTTAGCTGATTCCAAGTCGGGAATTACGTTCTAAAATTCCAGAGATTGGCTCCTAAAATTTCTCCTTGTTTCTACGGTCCTGTAGGCGAAAACGGTTCGTCGTTTGGACGTCAAACGAAGAAACTGCGAGCTGATTATCGTTAGTACGAAATTAGGGATTAATTCTTAATTTTCTGCTGTCCAAAATCTGCAGAAAACTGGAAATTCCCTTACCTCACGTACCAACTTCCCGGCCTTGTTTCTCCCTCGTCTGAGCTCGGAATTCAATTCCGTAAACTCTGTGATGCTCGTGGTGACTTGCTCTTTGTAGCGGTATCAAGCTTCGAAGCTGATGCTGCCTGTAGTGGCACTGGTTTGGCTGACGAAAAGGTTACGGCAAATGTTTCGGTAAAGGATATTTGGTGAGTTGGTTTGGCGATTTTGGCTTGTAAACAGGTTTGTATAGGTTCTAAACCTTTGCTGGGAATACAGAGACTATGTTAGGCTTTGGTTTCATATTATTTCTTTTCTTTTCTCTCCTTGGTGTTTGTACGAAGGCAAAAATGGAGAGCTAGCTTACCGGTATAATAGAGCTCCTTGATTCATGCTCTTACCTCTTCATTTACTTTCCAGCAGATGGAGTAAAGGCCTGGGGCGGCCTTCTAAGGAGCAGTAGCTTTGAAAGGAAGAAACTCAAGTTCCAAAGCCGGCTCCATAAACAAGCTAGCTGCTGGTGCAATGCCGACGTCATTAGCTCATTAATGACTCGGCTCCTTTTGTATCACTGAAACCAGCATAGTCTAACTGGTTATGTTGCTGAACCCTTCCTTAATGACCAACAGGTCAGGGGTTCGATTCTTGCAGCCAACAATATATTTTTGTTGCACTTTTTGCTGCTTTGGGAGTTTTAAAGTGGTTTCGTTGATCCTACCTCGTATAGGATAACTCGTCGATATTTTTTTTTCAGTCTCGAATCGTATAATATCCGCCCGTCATCTGGAAAAACATTATTAGAGGTTCAGGATGTTACAGATTGGATTGCAGGTCTTGCAGTATATAGTCCTGAATGTTCCCCATTTTTTATTCACAATGGACTCAATCGTTACATTTTGATTCTGCAGGGAAACAATGTGAGGTTTGAACTCCTAGAGACCGCAAATCTCTCCCAAGCACATTCAGCAAGATTTTGGAAGTTGTAAATGGTGCAAAATATGTCAAGAGCAATTGATTATTATTCTGGTTTTGTCAGGGATATTCACACCGAAAAGGATGTAAGCAACTCCCTTCGTTTCTTTTTTCGAATGGCATAGGGATTCATCTAGTAGATTCTCGGGCTGATTTGGTAGCCTTATCGACGTCTGGTCTTAGAAAGTAGAGACGTCAGCAGATGCTATCTGACATTTCTTCAACCATTTCATTTGTTACCAATAGGAAAACCCGAGACTTGATCATAATTCTAAACTCCAAAAGGTGCTGCTCTGAACTGCACACGTTTTATTTGATCTTCTCTCACTCTCTTTGATAAAAAATTTCTAAACTTTTTAAGACGAAGAAAATTGAAACAGCTTAAAATATCTGGTAGGTGACGTGATTGGACTTGTAATGACTAGTCAGGAAGTACTTGGATTGAAATAGACGAATATCTCTGCTCTGCATAACCTGGTCATTGATTGTGAGAGGGCTATAGTGTTTGTGTTGGTTGTAACTCAAGCATGTGGTGGGTGGTTTGGGAACTCAGGTTTTTGAACAGACTGGTTAGTAGTTTGGAGAGAAGAAACATCACGAGTCCAAGCTAAAAGGACTGAAAGACTTGGCTATTAAATGCATGGAGCTTCACAATTCTTTGTCCTCTTCATGGCCAAAGCAGGTAAAGTGTTATATTCCGGAACTTGTTGCAAGGGAGTGAGCACGAGAAATGATCGAATTCCCGGAATATACTCTGAGCACTTTTATCTTGGTTGACCATAGATGAAACTTTACAGAAAACATTTCAGTGCTCAGAAAATTTTCTGCGTTCGGGTGTGGCAGTAACAGTAGCAGGTAAATCTGATATACATGTAAGACTCAAAACTTTGACTAACAGTGGTTAGTATCAGAGAGGGTTTGGAGGGCACCAATACTCAGCAGCTAGGGAGAGTAGTAGCTGACTGTGGGGGAGCTGACAAATCCTGTAATGGTGGAACGGAACGATCTATCGAATGGATCATCGATCCCTTCACCAGCAGCTGCAATTCCGCTCTTCTGAACCAGACGACTCAGAGATTCTGCGATCTCACTCATCGGAGGCCTGAACTGCATCTCCGGCTGTTGAAAAACAGGACTCTCCACAGTCAAATTGGAACAGCATTGCATTTACTTACGAGTCTCTGGTAGTGGAAGAAGCGTAATATATATATATATATATATTACCTGAGTACAGAGAGAGACGATGTCTGCAAATCCAGATAAAGACTTCAAAGACAAGCTTCTCCTGTTGATGCATGGATCAACCATCTGCACCAACCACTCACTGTCGTGAAGCCGGCGGGAAGCCCATTTCACCAGAGACTGCTCCTTCCTCGACCGCGAGCTAATACAAAGAAAGGAAGACAGCCACGGAGATTAAATAATAAGCTCTTCGAAGGGGGAAAAGACTCTGAAGTCAGAGGACAGAAGAGACCCTTTTGGTACATTTACCTGTCGAAAGGTTTCCTTCCAGTCAGCAGCTCCAGAAGCATCACTCCAAACGCAAACACGTCGCTCTTGGTACTATCAATTCCTGGCTCCCCATGTTCAGGTGCGATGTAGCCCGTTTCAGTCAGTGCGATTTCAGAAGCCTTGACTTTGACGCTGTTGCAAGTCAGGGGCCTCAGGATAGCCAGCCCAGAATCACAGAGACGCGGCACCAGCTCTTCGTCGAGCAACACGTTCGAGGCTTTCACGTTGCCATGAGCCACAGGAGGACAGACAGTGCAGTGCAAGTACTCCAATGACCGAGCCACTCCGAGTGCGATGTTGAGACGGACCATCCACGGTAGTGGTTTGTAACTCTGGCCGTGAAGAACCACATCGAGAGGCAAGCTTCTCACGTGTTCATAGGCAAGGAGGTGCTGGCCGTGTTCAACGCAGTAACCGAGTAGGGCTATGATATTTGGGTGCCGAAGTCGAGATATAGTCCATATCACTTCCATCAACCGTTCTTCTTCCTCGAAAGATAGCGACACTGTATTTATGTTCTTCACTGCCAATACCTGAATGAAAAGGAGTAAGTTCATAAGTGAAAACTCTTCAAACAAGCTAATGATTTCGAAAGTTTTTGAAAAGGAGGATTACTTGGCCGTCAGGAAACTCCGCTCTGTACACAGCACCGAGAGATCCTTCTCCAATAAGGTTGTCTTCACTGAAGCTGTTGGTTGCATACTGGAGCTCTTCCACTGTGTAAATTCTTGCGCTGGCTGGAGCTCTGTTGTTCTTACCCAAACTTCTCCCCCCAGATAATCTTTTAGCTCTCGCTTGTCTACTAAATGGCGTACGGCTTCGACTCAGAAAGGTGGGTGGGCTAGCTTCGTATGCTGTTCCAACCATAAATTGATAAAATTTTGAATTACCACCTCGTTTCTGATAGAGAATGTTAAACTAGATTGAAGTTTGGTTTACCATTGGTTGTCTCGGCTGCAAAGGCATCAGATTGCTTCAGACGCATTGCAATGAAAATTGCTGCACCAGTAACCACTAGGGTTAATCCTCCAACAATAAAAACGACTCCTCCCAGGCTCAACAATTTCTTCTTCTGTTTAGCCAGCCTGAAAGATGGATGGTTCTCGACTATAGCGGCAGGATGATTCTCAACTATGGCACTCGACTCCGTCGTCGGACGAGTGCTGAAGTTCTGCGTAATTGGATTCTCCCCTGGAAAGCTCCAAGGTGGATAGCCAGGTTCCACATGGAATTGATTTCCGTCCATCCTAGCCATGAAGGAACACATAAAGAAGAGGGAGTCGAGAGCTAAAAGAAAACAGAAAACTTGAAACAAAGATATACCACAAATCTGGTATAGTTTGAAAGTTAGTTGGAATAACACCACTGAAGTTATTGGACTGGATGTTCCTGAAGGAGCAAACGTGCAACAAACGGATTAGTGAAGATGAAGGTCAGCCAGAAATGGAGAACCAGGAAAGAGGCGAGGGACAAAAAGAAAACTAACAGGTCAGAAAGAGGAAGATCAGCCAGGAAAACAACTGATCCAGTGAACTGGTTTTTCTGCAGGAACCTGGAGATACATTTCAAAAGGATAAGGATCATGAGCCTAGTTGGTAGTTAGTATGCTGAACTGAGGATCACAAAGATCAGAAACTCACAATCTAGTTAGATTTCTCAGAGATCCAAATGAATTAGGAAGGTCTCCAGTGAAGTTATTGTATGATAGATCCCTGTCACATAAAGAAGAAATGAAGTTAAGCCTGCTTTGCTTCAACCACACTACCAATTTCTGAAACTGAGAGAGCCAGAATTCATACATCTCTCTCAGACTTTGCAGACCAGCAAACACATTCCCAACGGGACCTGACAACATGTTGTGGCTTAGATTCCTGCAGCATAACAATCAAAGATAGCTTGTTACACACTAACAGAAGGAGAAACGAATCTGGAAAGACAAAATAAAACAGGTGGATAGCTTTTGACGATAGGAAAATTACAGATTTCTGAGGAGTTTAAAATTGGGCAAAGAATGAGGTATATTTTGCTCTAACTTGTTGCATGCTAAGTTTCTGCATAAAGTAAAACGTCAACAGGAGTCTCAAGCATTCATATTTGTTCAAGTTCAGAACCAGAGACATGAGAAATGATAAACTCACAAGTGGGTGACATTGGGAGGTAAGCTGTATGGAATTTCACCAGTGATGTTATTAGAGCTAAGATCCCTAAGATAAGAACCAAGAGAAGAGAGCAGAAAAGATAAATCCAGGGAAGTTCCACAATCTGAAATCCAGTTAGAAAATGTTAACTTACAGTTGCTTCAACCCATGGAGCAGATGGAACTGGCTCCCCAGATATCCACTCAAGTTCAGACCCTGAAGCTTACTGCAACAGTGAATAATATATCAAGAAAATTGATAAACAGACGCAGTATCAGATTTTGAACAAATGCAGAGGAAGGAAATCAGAAAGATGTATAAGAGAAGTGCAATTACAGGCGGATAACAGAAGATCCAGAACACGAGACGCCCATCCATGATTCTCCACATGGATCTCCTCCATCCAATCTCCACCGCTTCAGTTGAGGTGGGTTGTTCAGAGCCCTATATTGATCTTCAAGGGCTAGCACTGCCAGAAACCAGCCCGTATCGATCAAGCACACGCTCACCCAGTGTGTTGGAAGATCAAGTGAGTAAGAAATTGCGAGAGCTAAACGATTCAATCAACTAAGAATCACCCAGTTGCGCAGACTGTTCAAGCTAACCCCTGTTTCTTCACTAAACTGTTGATAGAGCAATTAAAAGACTGTGAATCATTCCAGAACACATTAGATCTTCCCGCATTTTCTCGGCGCTCAAACAGGGGATTCAGATCATTCTACTGAGAAACTAACCACAATAACAGTAACGAAGACGGAATACTGACAATTAATTCAATTAAACATAATAACATCCAGATAAAGAAGGATTTTTAGATGCATTGGAATATACCATCTGGGGGATCCGTCGTGGCCCGAACTCGTGAAGCGAGAATCATCCAGAAAGCAATCACTACGAAGAAGGTATGTGGCCTCTGTTTCGTCATGTTCTCCATCTTTCCCTGCAAACGAGAAGTAAATGAGTTCACAACCAAGAATTATTCCTTCTGATCCACAGAAAATCACGAGAGAGAGAGAGAGAGAGAGAAAACAAGATTCAGAGCCTCTGAATCTGTCGCGCTATATCTACCAAGGACTCCAAAGACTAAATTGACTTGAGGATGAGATGACGAGAATCTTTCTCCAGTTTTTCGCGCCACTTTCTTGCGAACCAAACAGTCCTTGATCGGCCTTCAAGAAGAAAAGGAGAGAAAGAAAAACGAAAGAAAGCTCCACTCAAGCAGAATCCAGAAAGCTCAGATCACTAGCAGGAGCAGGAAAATCAGAAATGGAGGAAACAGAGGAAGTAAAAAGAAAATCGGACTAGTAGAGATAGAGAGAAGAGAACGAATAGGAGGGAAATTAGGTTTTTGAGGTACTAAATTTCGAAGAAGATTTTCCCTCCTGCCTCTAGAGATAGAGAGAGAGAGGGAGTGAGGACGGGCGGGAAGAATATGATGCAGTTAACAGAAGCTCAGTCCAAGAGAACGGAGAGAGAAAAAAGAGCGAGGAAGAAGACGGTCAATGCCTATTTATACGGTGTGCCACGTCACCGTAAAACCGTTATGGTTGCTATAAAACTATAAGGTAATTAGGACGGCTCCGCTTGACCCAGGCTACGGAGCTCGGCCCAATAGCGGCCCATTCATTCCTTGCTTCGTCATTTCAATGCCTTGCTTCTCTTTTCTTCTTCTTCTCACGGAGGTCTGAAACAATGGCGGGATCGCCCGAAACCGTCGGTCTAGGAGCTGCCGGACGACGGAAGGAAGATGAAGAAGACGACTACCTGGGAGACCTCTCACAGTTCCTTCCTCCGGAGGCATCGGAACCCCCGAAGTCCAAATTAACGAACAAAAAGGTCCGTCTTCCAATTCCGTGCTCTAATTTCCCTTCGCAGTGTATCAGCATTTGTGATATTTTCCGTGGAATCTGAGAAAGAAAAGTCAGCCAAAGTTCTAGTTCGCGCGGTGGGACTTCGGGTGCTGTTCAGCTTATGAGTAATTATGTCTGGCGAGCAATACCCTAGATCAACTTTGATTCAGTGCTGGAATGTGATTTGCCATTCGTTTTTATTTTGGCAGATTGCTAGCATCAAAACCCAAGAAGTTCAATCTTCGAAGAGGAAGAACTCGAAAGCAGCTGTAAGCTGGCAAGAGCAACGGAGGATTGAAAGGGAGAGAAAGCAAAAGGAAGAGGATGAACAAATGCTTGCTAGAATAGAGGCTCCGATCCCTCAATCTAACATAGGGTTTAAGTTGCTAAAGCAAATGGGTTACACTCCTGGCTCCGCACTTGGTAAAGAGGGTTCAGGGAGAGCTGAGCCTGTTGGGATCCAGATTCGGAGGACCAGAATGGGGATTGGAAGGGAAGACCCACACAAGGAGAAGAGGAAGAGGGAGGAGTTTGAGGCAGAATGGAAGAAAAAAATGGATGCGGCTATGATGGCTGATTTCGGTTCTAGAGTGAAGTCCCAATGGCGGAGTAGGAGGGTTGTTGTGAACTTTGGGAAAGCCAAAGCAGCTCTTGATCAACTGGAGAACAAAGAGTTTGTTGAGCCCAAGAAGGATGAGGATGAAGAAGAAGATAAACAGGGCGAGGAAGAAGAAGAAGTGGTGACAGAAGAGGTATACTTATTTTACTGTCCATTCACAGAATCTTCCATTGCCGTATTGCCCCATTGTTTTTCTAGTTGATGGGCAGAACAGTAGGCGAGATATCTGAAATTGGCTACTTTTTCAGTGAATGTTTCACTTGCTTTTTTTAGTTAGGTTTGAATTCGGCTACTAGTGTTCATCATGCTGAAAATTATTCTGGTGCCAAGTATTGGACAGTAGCTGTTTCTTTTGTTCTGTTGCTCTGCGATGTAATTGCAGAATTTGTTAGTGGCTGTTAGAACTGGCTTGTGAATCCATATCTCCATAAGTGACATATAGCTCAACCAAGAATGCCAATTTTGAACATAAATGTAAATTACATGTCTATCTATGCTCGGATGATTGAGATTCAAATTACACACAAGTAACCAGTAGTAACTTTGAGAAAATGCTTGCAGATTGAAAAAGTCACTGTTTCTCCATATAGCTGTGACTTTAGATCTGGGATGCCTAAGATGCTGTATTTGTTCTGATTGTTTATCTGGTGTGATGCAATTGTTACTCTCATAGCTAGGACAAGTATTTGTTATGTGCATGTATCGGAGTACTTAAGTCTAATAGCTGCTCTTAACTGGATGCAGGATTTGCAAGAAATTTTGATGAAACTTAGAGAAGAACATCGGTACTGCTTGTTTTGTGGGTTTCAGGTAATTTCTTCTACCGTCTATTCTCTGCTCTTGCTTAACAGTGCAATTGCTTCGTAAACTTCGTATTAATACATGAACTTGTTACTTGTTTCAGTACGAGACCATGGAAGCACTTTTATCGAATTGCCCTGGAATAGATGAAGAAGACCACTAGATATATATTTACGGTGGACAAAGTACTTGAACAGGTTCTGGAAAATCAAGTTGCTTAGCTTTTCTGATGTTTTCTGGAAAAACAAGTGAGATTAGAAGGCAGACCCTTTTGTGGATCACTTCATTTTGATTCGGTGGTAGCACATAATCCATTGATGAAAACAGCAGGCTCATGCAGAGTGAAAGCTGATTGGGAGTCAAATCAGTTGCCTGTCTCCAGGTTTATGAAGGGGGTTCAGAGCTCATATCTGTAACTTATTAAGACACGATGATTGACAATAGATTAGCTAGTACCTGATACATCAGTCAATAGCAAATGTAGCATCCATTATCATGGTACATCATTTAGCAAATACAAGCCAACAAATTATTACATAGTTGAAAGTCTAGTTCTTCCTGGTCATTGTTCTTAACTCGTTGGCAAACAACTAGATGGAGATTCATTCCCATCGTCGGAAAACTTGGAAGTCGACAAACTGGCAGGCTACTTAAAGCGACCAGTTGACGTGCTGATGGTCGGAGGAGTCGTATGGTCTGGAGTGCTCCTCCACATCCATAAACTGCCTCCTCGAGAAAAGTGACATGTCGAGCTCGCTCGACAGCTGGGAGCTGGTACCCGATGGCAGTGGAGCATGACCAAGACCGAGATCCGAATGCATCACCCCGTTGGAACTGGTAACACAATCACTGCCGCCCTTAAAACCCCAACTGTTATGGTATGCAGTAGTACCAACGGCTGTTGACACAGTTGTGACGGGAGCTCCTTGCACATCCACCACCAAGTTGCTGCCTCTAGCGGCGTGACTTGATGACGATGCGCTGCTTCTAGAGCTCCATTGTTGTTGATTTGACAGAAGAGAGAGAGCACAGCTCGAGTCCACGATGCTGCTGGCCCCTGTATTGTTGTAACATTCTCCGGAACCCGGAAACCCAGTCCCACCGTGGTAGATGTTGGGCGGAGGATTCTGTGAGTTGCTGTTGTGCTGCCACAGATGGGGAACCGACCTTCCCGCAGCATTAACTGCAGTTTCAGATGATCTCCCAGATGGCGGCCATGCGTCCCTACCAGGTGACCTCGGGAATGCACTGAAGTCGAGCAGAAAGCCACCGCCTCCACCTCTGCCGCTGTTATCTGCCGGCATTGGAATGACACACAAGGAACACGGACGTGAGAGCAAAGCTACCGAGAAAGAATTATACAAGGATTATGCTCAAGACTATACCGAAAATAGTCGATGAGAGCCTGCCGTAGCGAGATGACAACAACGAACCAGCTGGGGGCTTTCTCCTGCGCTCGTTATGCCCGGCCAGCCGCCTGCGACAACTCCTTTTCCCTTGGTCGAATTCGGAGAGCTGATGAAACCTGAAACTAGTAAAACAGGCCATTAGCCAATGAGGCATGACAAAATAATTGTTCTGCAGCTTTCCTAGCCCAGTCAAATGAATGACAGAAGCAGGGACGAGTAAAAAAAGATGCTCCTCAGTAGCTTCCTCAATGAAACGAGTTAACAACATGGAATGTAAGATCCAGATATCTTCATTTTCGATTCATCTCAACTTTCCGCCCCACAGAAACCCAGTAGCAGTACTAGAATTGGAAGTGTCATATTCGATAGCTTCAGGAAGTTAAGTTATTATGACTAGAAGCCAAAAGTATCAATCAGCATATGCAATTTAGTTATCTATACCTAGTATGGTGAAACTAAATTCTGATAACTCCATAGCATTAGCACACTTTGGAACACCTGTACCACGCAATGCCTGGCTGCTAAGCGAAGAAGACGATAACACCATCCGCGAAGAGTAAAGCATTACGAACGGTAGACACAGAGGAACACAAGAAAGGGGGGAAAATAGAGGCTTTACAAAAATCCAACGCAAACCCACAAGACAGGAGACAAACCTTGCTTGAAGTCGGCTATCAATGGCAGACAAGAAATTAGGAAGCTCCCCAAAAAGGGCCAGAGAACTAAAGGGAAGGCTACTAAACAAGAAAGCCATTGAAAGCTACCATTCAGCAAAGCTAAAAGCTGAAGGCCTAAAAAAGGCAGGTGATAGCTCGTAGCTTTAAAGTATCCTCTCCTCCAATCTCCATCAGTAGCTGCAACTAACAACCTACAGACCCCAAAATCTCGTCCACAACAATATAAAAAGGTGAAAATTTTAACAACCCCCCACCCAACCGTACTAACAAGAATATCCTAACATGTATATATGTACACTTCTCCCTCGCAACAGGGACCAATGATCAATGAAAATCACATAAACAAGGGGGGACAAGGAGTGAAATTTGGGAGGAGGGTAACCTAACCTGCTACACTGCTGGCAAAACCTCTGCTCCAAGCCAGCAACAATGACAGTAGGGGTCTTGGAGTGAGTCCCGCAGACTTTGTGCCTGGAGTAGTAAGGCTTAGCATCGCTCAGATCCAGGCTGCACCCTTCAACTTGACACCTTGGAACAGTCTGCGGCTGCTGCCTGGCGGCGCCGGAAGGCGGCTTGGCGGCAGGAGGAGAAGTGGAGAGCAGACCCACATGATCCCCAAAATAGATCTTCTTCCCAAATTGCAAGCCATTGATGTTGGACTCAACTGCCGAAGTAACGGAAGAGGAAGGACAAGAATTGGGAGGAGAGAAGGGAGGAACAGAGTGGGAGGGGAAAGTGTTTCCCCCTGAACCACCAATGTCCATAATTGGTGCCTGCAAGCAAACCCCCGTACCAAATCTCTCTCTGCCTGCCTACAGAGCTTCTGCTTCTCCCATGGTTGGTTGGGGAGGGTTGAGCAAGTTGCAACAACCAACAGCGACAATCAGTCAAGCTAAAGAGGGGAAGCACAGAGAAAGAGGAAAAAAGTAAGGACAAAAGGCAAAGTTGTTAATACATTATTGCTCTGCTGATATTGAATAGGGAAGAGAGACTGGAGAGAGATAAAAAAGCGGGGGAATGATGGTTTGGTTTGGTTTTGGTTAATAAGCTGCGGACAGGGGAAGCTGTGAATAAGTAGTTTCACTTTAAAAAGAAAGAGGGGGGGAAAAGCAAGCAGCGCAAATGCTGACGATGGATGGGCCATTGATATATATTTGGGAATGGCAGGCAGCCAGAGCCCAGTGCTACCAGACTGACTCAGAAAGACACAGAGAGAAAGAAGAGAGAGAGAGAGAGAGAGAGGAATTTGCTTGCTTGCTTTCTGGTTTATTTTTATTTTGTTGAAGGGAAGGAAAGCACCCCACAATGCAGTGACTCACTGCTCACTGAAAGCGACTGTCTTTCTTTCTCTTTCTCACTCTGCTTTCAATGTGGCTCCCTCTCCCAAATAATGGAGGCTCAGCAGCACTGAGGCACAGTCACTGTTTTCAATTTGACTATGACTGTGATGTAACACTACTTACTAGTTTCCTGATATGTGAGTTATTAACGAAAACAGTAACACTTTTTTAACGAAATGGAAGTGGAGGTTGTTGAATGCTTTGTTTCATTTTGACAAGATTTGGGTTTGCTTGCTATATTTATGATAGTAATTGGATTGCAAAGTGAAAATAAAAAGAGTCATTGGATTACGACCAAAACAAAAAAATTGATTCTCATTCAGTCAAGTCATAAATGATTATACTAATTCGATAATTAGTGTATTTCGATCCATATTCAGCGAATTCAGAAAACCTCTCGTTAATTTCTCTCACTTCAACTTCGTCTTCATCTGGAACTGCCTCCGGTAATGCATCAACATGTTCTTGTCAGGAGGAAATACGTTATATCTATTTATTTACAAATGACTCATGTTTTCGTCATTATTTTCAAATTTTAGCTCTCCCTTTTTTAAAGAATGGTATTGCTCTATTGGGGTTCAGACATCGCTTATGATTAATAGATAAGGGTTAGAGCGCCCCTCTACACTCTTTTTTTTAAAAAAAATGGTATTGCTAAATTCATCAAACCAAAAACTTGTGGGCAACAACCATTGCCAACTAGGTTAGACTTACTTCAATGATAATCAAATCAATCGTTTAACCTAGGAAACCAATCATCCTGATACATTCACTTTATCCTATCACAATATCTACTTCACTTTTAATCTGGATATATGCTTGCAAATCTCGGTTAACTTTCTTCTTTGTTCTCCAAATGCAATCAAACATTTTTCCCGGAAAAAATCCCAAAATACACATGTTTTTTAAAAAAATTCTCAAAATACACACGTTATGAAAATATTTCCCAATCTACACATGTTTGGGTCTTCACCGCGTCAGACTACGGCGGTGATTGCTTCACCGCGTTAAAGAAGAGCGGTGATTGCATCACCGTGTTTGATAAAAACGGTGATTGCATCACCGCGGTAGACAAAAACGGTGATAGCTTCACCGCATTCAACGGCCGCGGTGAAGGCCTGACCTGCGTCGAATCTTTAAAAAAACGTAACTTTGTGCTCGGTTATCCGATCGCGATGAAATTTTGTTTGATTCCGCATAATTTTTCGAGATCTTGCAAGCCGCAAATTGCCGTAGGCGGTTTGGTCCCGCCTTCGTCCCGAAAAAACGTCGTTTGCTACCCCGAACGAGCCTTTTTTCGATTTCGTCAAACTTTGTACGACCATAACTTTGTGCTCCACAATCCGTAAATCATGAATTTTTTTTTGATTTTGCATAACTTTTTGAGTACTACAATTTTTAGTAGGAGAGAATTTTCAAAAAAATGAATTATTTTGGATATACGGGATTTTGGGAATAAGTTTACCTTTCCTTTTTAGGAATCCAAGTACATTCCGAAATTATGTCTATGATAAAAATTGTATTCCTCAAAAAGTTATGCAAAATAAAAAAAAAATTCATGATTTTCGGATTGTGGAGCACAAAGTTATGGTCGTACAAAGTTTGACGAAATCGAAAAAAGGCTCGTTCGGGGTAGCAAACGACGTTTTTTCGGGACGAAGGCGGGACCAAACCGCCTACGGCCGTTTGCGGCTTGCAAGATCTCGAAAAATTATGCGGAATCAAAAAAAATTTCATCGCGATCGGATAACCGAGCACAAAGTTACGTTTTTTTAAAGATTTGACGCAGGTCAGGCCTTCACCGTTTTCCTCTAACGCGGTGATGCAATCACCGCCTTCCTCTACAGCGGTGATGCAATCACCGTTTTCCTCTAACGCGGTGATGCAATCACCGCTCTTCTTTAACGCGGTGATTCAATCACCGCCTTGGTCAAACGCGGTGAAGGCCCAAACATGCGTAGATTGGGAAATATTTTCATAACGTGTGTATTTTGAGAATTTTTTTTAAAAACATGTGTACAGTGGGATTTTTTCCCATTTTTCCCTCCAAAACGAACTCACCAAAGAGGTCCATAACAGTCTCACTCTTACTCATGCAGGGTCCTT